TGAAGTCCATCAGAAGTGAGAAAATCTTGAGGGGAAAGATCTTTTCTTTAAATAAAAAAAAATATTAAAGCCAACACCAAAATCCATATCTTTTCTTTTTTTTTTTTTTTTTCAGTCTCTCTCAAGCCCAAGGTCTTGCCAAGCAGATGGGAAACCATTTCAAAGGCTGGAAGAAAAAGTTTTTCTTTGATGAAAGGTGGCAACAGAGCAGCCTGAAAACTCTTAAGCGTGTGTTTGTTTGATTTTTAAAGTGCTTCTTGCACAAAGATGACTTCATGGAAAGACTATGGATCGCTTGTCCTAATGAAGGAATGTTCACCCCAGTAGCGAGGAGATTCTCTGAGGGCTGCAGGACATGGGCATTGGGGGCTTGGACCTCCTTCAGCCCCCGGATGGTCAGCTCAGGGCCCAAAACTGAGTGCGGTTGGTGAAGAGGAGAAGCAATGGGAGCTGGACCAGCCTTTCCAAGCCTTTCTGGCCATGTCAGGATGCTGATGGAGAAATGGGACCTGAACAGACAAAGAAGTGGACAAAGACCTGACAAACATGGACATTTTGCTCCCACCTGTAGGACCACTCTACCATTGGTGCTAGATCAACACGAGGAAGAACTTGATGTTTGTCTGTGGGTTCTTTTGCTTGGCCTTCTTTGGGTGGAAGACAGTGGAGTGGTGTTTTGGGTCCTTGCTTACAGCCGTACCTGTGGTGGCCACACACCCCATTGATCCAAACCCTGACACGCAGACTCGACACCGAGCTGGACCTCGGATTTGCCTCGTCACCGTGGACTTGCTTGGTGACCTCAGCCCTTCTTGCCTGCAGTGCTTCTCGTAGAAATGCCTAGGTTCTGAGCTCAGCTGCACAGAAGAGAGCAAAGTTGTTTTCATCTGCAACACTCCTGGTCCATGGCGGCTGTTCAAAAATGCAAGAAAGCATCACCAAAATTCACCCTAATGGCATGAAAGATTCCCAGGTAAGATGCAGCATTCAATTGTTATTTAATTGTCTCTCCCCCACCCTTTTCTTTGTTTTTTTTTTTAATCTGCTCTCCTTGCTTTTCTGATTTGAGTGAAGATTTCTGAGCTCTTGGGAGCAGCACTACTTTCTCTTCTCCCTTCTTCTCCATCTCCCTTCTTCTCCATCTCCCTTCTTCTCCATCTTCTCCTCGGTTTATTGCACCAAGGTGCCCGTTTCTTTCTGTAGGGCTGTTGTTCTGGGTTGCTCTCCCCCATTTGGCTGCAGCCTGGAGGACCTACGAGCTTTCTATGGGTACCATTTATTTCAAGGATGGCCCTACAGCAAGAACAATGGGAGCTCCCTGCATACAGGAGGACTTCTGAGAAGCAATGGCTTGAGTAAGATTGCAGCTGTAACACAGAGCTTGCTTTTCTCCCTGTCTCTGTCAGCCCTGATAGGTGGGTAAATGGAGTATTTCCTCTTTAAACATGTTTAATGTGGCACCACTTTCTCTTTTTTTTGGGGGGGGAGCATTGGGACGCTTCGTAGCTCGGGCCAGGGAAATTGTCCTGCCTGAAATTGCGAGGTGGTTCCTATAGGAGTTTGGGAAATATTAACATGGGTTCTCGGAAGAGGCAGTGCAAGGAGATGGGAATACTGAAATATTCCAGGAATCCATTGTAAAACAAGGCACGAGGACTTTACCATGGAGAATATCTTCTCTAAACTATAGCCAGATAACTCCAGAATAAAAAGTAGCTATTAATATTAAAGTCAAGTGTTACCTGATGCTGTAGTCCCCACTGAATTCAAATGCTCTCAGAAAGTACAAAATTAAGAGGGAATCTTGTGGCAGCTAAAAGAGGAAATGTCCCAGTTGGAACCAAGTATGAAACCCGAGATGAAAAATGTTCTGTTGGTGCTCTACCAAAGCCTGTGGCGGCGACCAAAAGTCCAGGGCAGGAGGGTTGGAACTAGATGATCTTTATGGTCCCCTTCTAACTCTTAAGCATTCGAAATGACAAAGTGTGGCTTTCTAAAGAAACAGGCGTTTTTCTAATATTAAAATACGAAAGAGAAGCGTCTCTTTCCAGAGAAATAATTTTCACTATTTTGGGGCGGCGGGGGAGGGGGGGTAAAGCTAAAAAATGCTACTGATTAAGTGAATTACGTTTTTCATGACTCAGATTTTTGTTTCCAGGGAAAACATAGCATCCCCAGAACCCAGAACCCGGCCTGCCGACAGTGCCAAGTAAGTGGTTTTCGTGCCCTCTGCCTCGGTTTCCCCATGAGCAAACCCAAAATAATGGAGATCAGCTTAAACTGGTGAAGGCTGCAGTGCTTATTGTCAACTATAAACTGAACAAGTCGCATATTTCGTGCTAATCCCCACGTAATACAAAAGGTCACTCCAGTTGGCGACGCGAGGTGCTATTTTTAGGCATAAAGATTATTATTAAAGTGGAAAGGAAAAATAACCTGAAAAGAGGAATTGAAAACACAACACAAATGTTACTCATATTTCACTGCAAACATGAAATTGCTTGAGTCTTGACAGCATCCTTCCTCCTACAAGGATGGATTTTTATAACACTGCATTGTTAATAGTCACATCAATGCATGACTCAGAGGAGAGACTATCTGGTAAACAGAGGCTGGTTGGGATATTGCCATATTACATTAGCTTTATTTCTGTTGGGCCAAGCGTTTCTACCAGTTTGGGATTTTTCTCTTTGCCTTGTCAATAAGGAGGCCTGAAATCGTTTCCAGAGAAAGGCCCATTTGTTCTCGACACGAGCGTTTGCCACGAGTCTACGCTGGCTGCAGAAACAAGGTCCTTTCTCCGCCCCTACAAGTGACCATGTAAAGCCAAAAATGCCTCAGTGGGGATGGGAGGGGGTGGATGTGATGATTCGGGAGGGTTTTGGTGGAGATCTGGATGTTGGATCTCCCCTGTGGGCTGGAGTCCAAGGGAGCTGCTGCCAGAGAAGGAACGTCCACCATGAGACACTTCTGCTTTTTGGGGAGATGTTCTGCTTTGGGGGGTTTCTCTTAAATGGAAATGCTTCCATAAACCTAAACAAAGTTAAACTGACTTTTTCTGTTTAGGTTTTCTTGGGTATACATGACATCCTTTTGGAAGGAGCCAGCTCTTACCTATTTGTGTCCTGGGAGCAAGGTGTGAGGTTGTCAGAGTTGGAAGGGACCTTCTAGAAATCCCCCAGTCCAGCTCCCCTGCCAAAGCAGGGTTGCCCAGAGCACATCACTCAGGAGCATCCAGGTGGGGCTTGAAGATCTCCAGAGAAGGGATATCCACACCCTCCCTGGGCAGCCTCTGCCAGGGCTCTGCCACCCTCACCCCAAACAAGTTCTTCCTCAGATTGGAGTGGAACTTCCCATGGTCCAGCTTGTGCCCGTTGCCCCTCGTCCTGTCACTGGGAACCACTGAAAAGAGTCCAGCTCCATCCTCCTTCAACCCACCCTTTGGATCCTTGGAAACAGGAATAAGGTCTCCCCTCAGCCTTCTCTTCTCCAGGCTCAAGAGTCCCAGCTCTCTCAGTCTTTCCTCATCAGGGAGATGCTCCAATCCCTCCATCATCTCTGTTGCCCTTCGCTGGACTCTCTCCAGCAGTTCCCTGTCTCTCTTGAACTGGGGAGCCCAGAACTGGAGGCAGGATTCCAGTTGTGGCCTCCCCAGTGCAGAGCAGAGGGGGAGAATGACCTCCCTCCACCTCCTGGCCACACTCTTCCCTATGCAGCCCAGGATCCCATTGGCCTCTTGGCCACAAGGGCACGTTGCTGGCTCATGGAGAGTTCACTGTCCACCAGGACCCCCAGATCCTTCTCCTCAGGAGTGCTTTCCAGCAGGTCCACCCCTAACCTCTATTGGTGCCTGGCATTACCATGGAGCTATTGAGTAGCCCCTCTGTGCCCAGGGAGCTTTGGGCTTACACAGGCAGATGTAACCCTTCCTTGGTGAAGATGTTTTGGGGCTGGTTCTGCAGCACCCCCGTCCTCTGCTGCAGGTACTGCCACAGCCTCCTGACAGCATTCAAGGTGCTAAGCCTTGAGCTCAAGTAAGTTGGGTGCCAAACATCAGTGAAGCCCCCAGATCCAGGGAGGCCTGGAAACACAAGGAATTGGTTCTGGTTTCTCAGCCCTGGGGTGTAAATCCAGAAAAACTCTGTGCTCTCAGCACAGCCAGGCCAGGAGTTTTCATGGTAGATGCTCAGGACTCATTGATCCCACAGCTGTGGAGGTGCCCAGCAGTGTGGCTCCAAGCAAGGGGCTAAATTCCTCCCTGGCACAGGCTGTGGCATCTCCCAGGGAGCAGCAGAGCCCAGGTGTGTGCAACCAAGGTGTTTGCTCCCCCACCCCAAAAAAAAAACCCCAGGTGGCGTTTCTGCTCCTGGATGTGAACGCTGTGAGCTGTCATCTTGGCTTTCTCTGTTTTATTATTTAAAAGACAGAGAACAAATAAGAGAAAATGAACTGCAAATAATGACTAACAGCACTTCCACTCCAAATATTTGCTCACATAATCATGTGGAAACTTTGAAGACTTGTGAATGGTTCTGGCGCTGTTTACAATACAGCTTGGCCTGAAGTCGGTCAAGATGATCCTCTCCCAATGTCAGAAGAGCCCTGGGCACTGGGAGATACATTCAGGGCTTCTCGCTGCTCCTCAGAAAAGCAGGGTAATGGAGATGCTGGAAACCAAAGATATGGTGGGTCTACTGCCTTGGAGCATCCCTTCAGATAGGGTGCTGCAGCCCCAGGAAGCTGTGTCCCCCTTGGACATGTCTGTCAGCATCTCTTTGCTTTCAAGCAGAACTGCTTATAGAGCATGTATTTGTCTTTTCTAAGTTTGAGACCAGGGCTTAAGCCAACGTTACCCAATTAATTCTTCTTTTCTGTTTTCATTTCTAGTTTGAACCCTTGGAAGCTGAACCTAATCTTCTCGCCATGCAGCAGCAAGGTTGTGGTCGCTTGGCTGTTTGAGCAAAATAATTCAAATTTTCTTATTTCAGTGCGGGTTCATTTGTGTCATAACTCAGGGAAGGTACAGAAAGTACAGCGTGTGACGGGGGAACTCGCTGATGGAGTGGCTTCCCAGCTCAGCAGTGTGGCCACTGTCTTCATAGCCTTACACAAGAGTCAGGTGAGTACCCAACCGCTTCACCTCTGGTTTGTTGAGAGCAAAGCAGCCAGCAAAGGTCTGGACCTTAACCTGGTTTTTAAACAGCGTAATACACAAGTTAAGCCAGTTCCTGGAAACACAGAAGTCTTGTGTTCCCTCTTTGTCACGTTCTGTGATGTGTTAGCATCCTTCCTGGCACTGTAGCTGGGAAGTTGTAGGTTGCATCCTTTCTTTCCCCCCATATCTGTGAACACTGGTCAGAGCAAGTGTAGCTGGGAAGTTGTAGGTTGGATCTTTTTTTTCCCCCATATCTGTGAACACTGGTCAGAGCAATGCCTGAAAGAAGAGGATATAGAATCAGAGAATTATAGAATGGGAGTTGGAAGGGACCTTAAAGACCATCCAGTGCCACCCCCTGCCCTGGGCAGGGACACCTCCCACCAGCCCAGGTTGCTCCAAGCCCCCTCCAACCTGGCCTTGAACCCCTCCAGGGATGGGGCAGCCACAGCTTCTCTGGGCAACCTGGGCCAGGCTCTCACCACCCTCACAGCACAGAATTTCTTCCTGAGATCTCAGCTAAACCTCCCCTCTTCCAATTTTAAGCTGCTCCCTGTCATCCTATCACTACATGCCCTTGTAAAAAGTCCCTCTCCAGCTCTCCTGTAGCCCCTTCAGATACTGGAAGGCTGCTGTAAGGTCTCCCTGGAGCCTTCTCCAGACTGAACAACCCCAATTCTCTGGGTGCAGCAGAAGACTTGAGCTCCTCCTGCTTGGTTGGTTCAGCAGCAGCACACGGTGTCAGGAGGCAGGGAAGGAGAAGTCTTCTACCACAGGCATGAACGAAGAGGAGCTTGGGCCCAGAGCAGCTCAATCCCCCTTCCCAAGGATGATTCTACACTTGCAAGAGAGCCAAGCCTGGAGTGCCAGGGTTTGGAGATCTTTTCACTGAATATAATTAACGATTTCTCTTCTTGTAATTAAGGAGGTGCAATTAAGAGCGATACAAATAGCGAGGCAGCGTTTGGCATTTACAGAAGGACCTAGGCTGCGTGGTGGAGGACGTATTGTCATCAGTGGCCAGGCATTTCTTGGCCATTAAAATACTTGGGCGCTGTTGATTTGTGATCAAATCTAGCATGCAGGTAGCAGGTGGCATTTCTGTAGTTCCTGCAGGGAATATATCCCAAAACGTCAAATTACATTATTCAGCTCTTTCCATTAGAGAAAAACGTGTGAGCAAAGGACTGGGGGAAGCGGCGGAAGGAGGGGGAGAACGTTTTCTCTATTTTAAAATTAATATTTTAGCTTACAAGCGTTAAGGTGGCTTGCAAAAATTAGGAGGCGTTAAAAGCCAGGGTAACATGGAAATGTCTTTTCTCTCCTTGTTGCCACCGTTTTCTCTTTGACCTCCAAACTTTTGTCCATCACAACACTCATCCTTTCCAGAGAAAAAAATACTCAGAACCCATGAAACTTCAGGAAGAATGTGTTTTTCCAAAATGTGGCTTTTGGGAGTGAAAAATTCCTGTCCCTTAATGCGTTGTTCCCAAATTAGCACTTCCTGAGAAAAAAAAAAAAATAAATACACTGTGATTGTGACTAACCCCTATTTTTCTTCCACCAGTATTTCTCCTCAAAAGAAATAAGGCCACCCCCAGTACTGACCTCGCAGGAGCCAGATGTGCCTTCGAAAGCCTCCTCTGTAGCATTATTGCTAAACCTGCTTCTAAATGGAAGGAATGGAGAGGAAACCCAGCTATTCCCACCCACAAAAAGGACCAATTCCGCTAATTGGGATCCTCGCTTAGGTAATTGTTGCTGCATTAATGCCTTATGTTGGGGAAAGCTTAGGGGTTTTTTTGATGTCGTTTCCTTTGCTGATCTTAAGAAATAATTATTTGTTGCTGCTGTTTCTTGGTCTCATCCCAACAGAGAAGCCCACTTGCTCCCAAGCAAGATCTAAGGCTCTACAGAGGGATCTGGACAGGTTGGATCAATGGGCCAAGGCCAATGGGATGAGGTTCAATAAGGCCAAATGCTGGGTCCTGCATTTTGGTCACAACAACCCCAGGCAACACTACAGGCTGGGGGCAGAGTGGCTGGAGCTGCCCAGCAGAAAAGGACATGGGGGTGTTGGTGGACTGTCGGCTGAACATGAGCCAGCAGTGTGCCCAGGTGGCCAAGAAGGCCAACACCATCCTTATCAGGACCAGCAGGAGTAGGGCAGTGATTGTGCCTCTGTACTGGGCACTGGTGAGGCCTCACCTCGAGTGCTGTGTCCAGTTCTGGGCCCCTCACTACAAGAAGGACATTGAGGTGCTGGAGCTTGTCCAGAGGAGAGCCACCAAGCTGGTGAAGGGTCTGGAGAACAAGTCACACGAGGAGAAGCTGAGGAAACTGGGGGTGTTTAGTTTGGAGAAGAGGAGGCTGAGGGGAGACCTCCTTGCCCTCTACAACTCCCTGACAGGAGGGTGTAGAGAGGTGGGGGTTGGCCTCTTCTCCCAAGGGAATAATGCCAGGAGCACAGGAAATGGTCTGAAGTTGGGGCAGGGGAGGTTTAGGTTAGATATTGGGAAGAATGACTTTCCTGAGAGGGTGGTCAGGCACTGGAACAGCCTGCCCAGGGAGGTGGTGGAGTCACCATCCCTGGAGGGATTTGAGAAACGTGTAGAGGTGGCGCTTCCAGGCATGCTCTAGTGCCCGAGACTGTTGGGTTGTGTCTGTCTGTGGGTGGGTGTAGGTTGCTTTTTTTTTTGTTTTGTTTTTTTTTAAGGTTGGACTCGATGATCTCAAAGGTCCCTTCCAACCATGAATATTCTGTGATCCTGGCCTGGTCTTTCTCCAGCCTCCCTGGGAGATGTGGTGGAGTTTATATCTTCCTTACAACCAGCGTGCCTCCAGACAGACAATATCTCACATGTTAAAGGGAGATCGTGGCTGTTCCGTGGCCCTGGTGCAGCGTTTGCTCCATCTCTGATGACCCTGAGTGAGATTTGCTCAGTGTCAGAAGCTGAGGTGGCAGATGGGCAAGGACATGTCCTGGGGTTCAGCGTGGCTGGCCGGGGGAGGAATAATTCCTGTGGGGCCCATTCTGCTCGTGTGAGCGTTTTCAGAGCATCTGTAGAAGTGCCAGCCTCTGCTCTGTCGTGTGTCTTCTTTTTTCCTTGTAAATCCTGGCTGAAGAAGGATTTCAGCTCCAACATAAAGCTTCATTTGACCTCGGCAGCTCAGGGATCAAACCCGTGAAGTGAAATGGGTTTAGCGCCGTTATAAATTTAATCCAGAGCTTTTAGTGAAAATAACCAACTACCCTCCAAAGTGATCCTGCTCGAAAACGGAGTTGCCCAGGTCTTAAAGATAGGATAAACCTGAAAAATACTGGGGGGGGTTGGACAACCAGGTCCCTCTGGGCTTGCTCTGGAGGTGGGTCCACCCGGCCTGGAGAAGAGCCATCAGCAAAGCAGTGATTTCTCAGAGGCCTCTCCTTGAGGATGGAGGCAGGTTTCCAAAGGCTTCCCAAACTCTTCCAGGTTAAGCTTCCCATCCTCAAGCACCCTAATGCATCCTGTAGGAGAAGGCAACACGAGAGAAATCCAGAGGTGACATCTGGCTTCCTGCTACCACGACGCCTTCACCTTTGGTCACCCTGGCAGCAGAGGAGAAGTTTTCTTTAACTTCCCAGCATGACCTCCATTCATTTTGTTCTCGGCGGGCGACTGCCATTTGAATAATTTAATCCATGGCTCTGCCATGCCTTGTAGATCATGGTGGGCGATGAGCGGGGACACAAGAGTACTCTTCTGTATAAGAGGGAACGGGCAAAAGCTTGAACCTAAGAGGTTCCATCTAAACATGAGGAGGAACTTCACTCTGAGGGTGGAAGAGAGGTGGTGGAGTCTCCATCTCTGGAGACACTCAAACCCACCTGGACATGTTCCTGTGGGACCTGCTCTGGGTGGCGCTGCTCTGGAAGGGGGTTGGCCTAGATGATCTCCAGAGGTCCCTTCCAACCCTATGGGATTCTGTGATTCTGTGATGTGCTCCGTTTGCCAGGGAGAGCCCGGGCAGCCTGCTCATCCTGGCAAAGAGAGCTCACCGTGGGGAAGCAAACAAACCGACAGGAGCCTGGTGAAGGACAGAGGGGTGCCCACTCTCGGCAGCGAGGGGTCTCCATAGGGGCCAGGTGGTCCCTCCTGTCCTCTCCTACCGCCTTCAAGAGGAAATGGCCTCAAGTTGCGCCAGGGGAGGTTCAGGCTGGATATTAGGAACAATTTTTTCACTGAAGGGGTTCTCAGACACTGGAATGGGCTGCCCAGGGAGGTGGTTGAGGCCCCATCCCTGGAGGTGTTCAAAAGCCGGGTTGATGTAGTGCTGGGAGGTCTGGTTTAGTGATGATGCTCCTTGTTTGTTGTGTGGGTGTCTATTTTTGTCAGTCAGGTTGACGGTTGGACAAGATGATCTTTAAGGTCCCTTCCAACCTAGAAGATTCTGTGATTCTGTGATTCTCCTTTCCTCCCCGCCCTACGCCTTCTCATTCATCTCCTCTCTTCCCTGGGCTAATTCACGCTTTTCCAGGCGCCTTTTATCACCACCGCTTGCTTGGGTTGGGTTTTTTTGGGTTGTTTCTTTATTTTTTTCTATTTTATTTTATTTATTTCCCCCGCTTGCCCTTGATCCGTGGTGGAGGGACGGGGGTGTGGATTGGTGGGGTGTTTTTATTTATTTCCCCCGCTCGCCCTTGATCCATGGCGGAGGGACGGGGGTGTGGATTGGTGGGGTGTGGGGGAGCCAGGGGTGGCAGATGGCGGCGGGTCGGAGCCGGGGCTCATCCATCACCGCCGTGGGCAGCGCGCCCGGGCGGCAGCGGGGACGCCGCTGCCATTCAGGGGAAGGGCTTGAGCCGAAGGGTTGAGCCGAAGCAGGTAATTGTTGGGGGAGAGGAGGCATTTTTCACCGCTGACGAGGAGGCTGGGGTTGTGCTAATGCCATGTTGAAGGATGAATTCATCATGGTTTCTCCTTTTTTCTTTTTTTTTTCCTTTTTTTTTTTTTTTTTTTAAATTCAGCTTTTGATCGACGCTGTGCTACTCCCAAATGCCAAGCAGCCGGTATGTTTAAAGCAGAAACCTTGCCACAAGCCAAGGCAGCCTGGCTGTGCCCAGACCCTGGCCACCACTCTTGTCATCGTCACCCCCATTGATGAAGTCAAAAGGTCAAAAAATTTCCACCCCCCCTCCCCACAACTGGCCCCAGGAACTCTGATTTGGGTTGTGGAGCTGCAGCAGCATCCATCTGCGTTGGATCCATACGGTGCCACCAGCACACGGTGCAAAAAAAGGCAGATGCTCCTTCACCATGAGCCAGTTTTCCAGTTTGCCCACCCCAAAACGTATTATCCAGCAGAGACGGGCACCTGGACCAGGGCTTCCATCCTGCCGGATCCCAGAGGAGAAACCTCCAAGGGTTTCGTGGCTTGGGGACCACATCCAGGTGGCCATCCCATGCGCCTTCAGCGGTGACATCGCTCTGAGGTGTTTTTTGGTGTTCGCCTTCGCTTTTGGCTCTGGTAGAGTCTGTCGTGGTTGTGCTTGGATGCCGCCCAGGGCTGTCAGTTAGCTGAGAAAAACAGCAAAAATAATGTTTACCTGCGCGCAGGCTCGTGGGCTGGATGTAAACTTAGAAGTGACCCCAATATGAGGAGCACACGGGGAAAAAAAAAAAAAAGAGAAAAATAAGGGGGGTGAAAAAGAAAAAAAATCATCTGTTTCTCTCTATTTTTAGTGTCAGACACTTTCAGAATCCAGCCAGTTCTGAAACTGATTTCTAAAATTACTCTGTCCCTTTTTAGAGAACTTTCTGCATATTTTTTTTTTCCCCCCTCAATTTAAGTATTTTTTGAAGTATTTTTGAAAGTGACAGTCTTGGCCAACTGCACAAAACTGCTTGGCCTGTTGAAGTTATCTCACAGTTGTGTTTAGGAGAGAGATGATAAATAAAGGCATTGCATTATAAGGGGAACTGGCAGGATTATTCAAGTCTATATGCGGCAAAATTTAATTCTAGGTTTCAGTTGTGATTTGAAAACAAATTGTAAATGCTGCTGTCCTCCACGAGAACACAGCTCTGGGAAAGCAGTTCTCGGATGGTTTCAAGCAGGAATCTTCAAAGACTTTAATTCATCATATCCCTCTGCTCTGCTGCAAGTCATTCACGCAGCGGGGTGGTCATTCATCTCACTTCGGCCATTCAAAAAGGAGGTTTTAAGCCTAAATTCGCCACTGTGGTTCCCTTGTATTTCAGAGGGAGATTGGCACCAGCAGCACCGGTCTCTCCTGTAGCTCCTCCACTTGAGATGCCAGATGACCACGTTCAAGGGAGGGCACATCTACCTCTTGCCCACTCTCCCTCCTCCTGTTTTTAGAGAAATATGTTATATTTTTCTTCGCTACCTGCCCTCTCAGCCCACAGTTTACACTGGTTGAAGAGGTTTTGGCCAAGGCACGAGGTGTTACCACCCTCTGCAAAGCACACAGTGCTTTGCTTGGATTTGCTCTATTAGGACTTTTGCTTGGCCCAGGCTATAAATTATTCATCATGCACAGGCTTCAGGGACAATTGTCTTCCTTCCTCTTCCTACTTGTGGAATATTTTGACATTTTCCCCGGCGTCTGTTGCAATTCAGTCCTATCTTTAAATAAATCTCTGGCTTTCCCATGGGGAGGGATCCAGGAGCTCTTACCTGGGATGCATCTTTCCAGTTGACTGAGTTTTCTTCATCTGTGTCTTGAGCTATGGAAGGGTTTGGGGAGGATTTTTTATTGTTTTAGGCAAAGAAGAGCCACGCTGGATCAGAGTTCCAGGAGTTTGCACCCACCAAGTCTTTTGGCCAAAGACTTTCAGTTTTCAGGTCAAAGAGAAAAGTCATGATTTTCTGAAGGAGGTGGGGAGGAAATCCCCCTGTTCAGTGTAATAGGCAGTGACTGGGGGAGGATTTTTTCAGCCATGAGCAAAAGCAGTTCACAGATTTGGGAAAAGGGAGTTTTTCTTCTCCTTCTCAGCATTGTGGTTTTGGTGTTTATGTGAATTTCTGATTATTGTAGGAGGAGGAGGTGGCACTTTTCTCTCAGCCCAGGCTTCGGTGCTTCCCAGGCACCTGGAGGGATGTTTCAAGGCTCATTTGGAGTACAGAGGGGAGGTAAGTGTCACTCTTAAAAACCACCATCTCATCCAGGAGACCTTGGGGAAGCTGACCCAGCTGCCAGGGGAGGAACCACTGGTCCCCCTTCCCCTTCTCTTTCCAGGCCAGGCATCCTGCAGAGAACCAGAGCATCAACAGCAAAAGTCAGTTTGTGTCGGACTGTGATTTCATCTTTCAAAAAGCCAGATCATCCTTAAATACCTCCAAAGCTGGAACACAGAGGACGTCCTGGGGAATGAGATGCTGTAGCAAGTGGGGCTCTCTGGTAGGGGTGGTGGTACTGGTACCATCGGGGGTGGAAAACCCAAGGGCAGGGTAAATGATGCCAGTTATCAGGTATTGCTCTCAAGGATCACCCAACTCAAGTGTTTTTGGCAGCAGCTACCACCTGCCAAGCACACCGGGATGTTCCCCCCCCTCTTATTTCTAAATTTGGCAGCATCCGAAATGCTGATGCTGCCCCGAGCTGTGGCACTTTCCCACCTCCTCTGGTAACTTCTCACACCTTCTTGTCACCTCACCAGCCAGGTGGTGGGTGTCCACCCCTCTGAACTGATGATGGGATGTTTTACAGCTTGCCAGCCAAAGGATGGATCTATGCAGATGGGCTCTCACTGTGCTTTAAACGTGAGTTAGACCAGCCTCAGCAGAATCACATCTACATACCCCAGCTGTGGAGCTGCCCATCCTACCAAATCCGTAGGAGAAATGAAGATATAAGTGGCTTTTCAGCAGGTAAGAAGACCAGTCGTGGTTAGGAGCCCTGATGGTGCCATGCATTTTGGATGGTCTATTAAATACCTGATTTTTAGCTCAAATGTGGACAGGTTATCACACAGCTGCCTGCTGTAAAGGTCTTCAGCTTGCCCTGTAAAGGTCTTCAGGCTTGCCCTGAAGCATCTGGCTGCAGGCAGAGATGGGGCCATGGGCTGGGGGGACCCTCTGCCAGGCTATTTCCAGCACCCGTGGGGAGCACAGTCCAGGGCAGACTCCAGAAAACAAACTGTTTGCTTCAAATTAAGCTTCTTGACAAGGAACCCTGTTAGAAATTAATTTTGTTATTCCCCGGATGTCAGCACTTCTTAAATTTAAAAGAAAAAAAAAAATTCTTGCTTCCTTGCTGTCATTTCAATGGAGTTTTTTTAGCTCTACTTCCTTGCAAACTTTTTCTTACAAAAAAGAAAAAGAAGAAGTAGATGTTTTTGAGTGAGCACATCTGGTTTGCAGTAGCCAGACGTGCTGAGTGATGCTCTTGGAGCAGAGGTGGACGTTTCCAAGTGCACGTGCCCCAAAGCAGACCATAGGGTGGATTAACCTATTCCCATCCCCTTACCAGCCCACACGCAGCTCTTGGCCATGCTGGGTCCCTCTTGGAGCTGGTGGTTGGTTGCCCAAGCTGTGTGGCAAGGACACGGGCCAGCTCATGGGTTTTCTTGCCATTCCTGTGCTCGAAGGAGGAGATCTCTGGCAGGAATATGCTGGGGATGGAGGGTCTCTGTGGCAGGTTGGTGCTGCCCCACCGCCTGCAAGGTGGTGGACATCTCTGGTGGTGGACATCTCTGGTGGTGGACATCTCTGGTGGTGGACATCTCCGGTGATGGACATCTCCTGCCCACTGAGCTCTGCAGGCACAGGTATGGGAGGAGGTTTCACACTGGGGTTTCACGCTACCACCCAAATAACACAAGGCAGTAGGAAGGCAAGGCTTGAAACTGTAAAGGCTTATCCCAAGCCCCAGCTCTGGGATGTGCTCAGCAGGGCTGGGGCGCTCACAAATAGGGTCACCAATTCGGGATGAACTTGTGCAACTGAGAATAACAGGTTCCTAATTTTTTTCTTTTAGATTTTTTTTTTTTTTTTCATTTTTAAACTGGAAACTTAGAAGCAACAGGTTCCTGTTTCTTCTCACATATGCCTCACATATTTGCCTTTTGTTGTTTTGGCTAAAGCTATCCTCCCAGGACCCCACAAGCACACCGAGCAGCATATGGCCTTCTACTTGCTTCATTTCCAGCCCTCATATTTTCCCACAGTAAACCAGACTTTTTCAGGCAATACTAATCCCTTGTGCCTGTCACTGGTAGAGAAAAGCATTAATAACCGCAGTTATCCTGGAAATATCTGTCACCCACATTTGTTTTTCGTTTCCCTTTGGGTAATCACGCTCCAGATCTAATTACTGCAGAAATTCCTTTTGCTCCAACGAGCAGCATTTTGGGTTACCTCCCCGGCTGGTTGTGAGTCGAACTCCGCCGACGATGGGAGATCCGTATTGATTTACATCAGCCCAGGATCCGCTGCCTCACGTCTTCATTCCGCGGGTGGCTTGGGGTTAGAGAGATGATTGATGGCTTCAGAAAAAAAAAAAAACAAAAAACCATGGGGCTGAACTTGTGCTAACTCAGGTCCCAAATCCTGGGGAGTCGGGGAGAGGCTTTCACAGAATCACAGAATCTTAGTGGTTGGAAGGGACCTCTGAGATCATCGAGTCCAACCCCAAAAAAACAAAAAAAGCTTTGGTTGGTTGGGATGAATGGCTGGGAAAGCAAGGAGAAAGGAAAACACTTTTTCCACCCTCTCCCATCCCCTCTGTTCCCGTGGGTTCCCACAGGGAGCCAGAGCCACCGTTGGGATGATGTGGCAGCTCTTGTGACACGGGGACGGTGCCACAGGGAGGAGGGATGGTGTCCTGCTGTCACAGGCATCGGCGAGGACAGCGTTTGGGAGCCACCATTGGAAGGACAGGGTCTGAGCTCATTTTTTTTTCCTTCCTCTTTGGGCTGACTCACATCTGTGAGGCAAAATGAGGGTGGTGAGACACTGGGACAGGTTGCCCAGGGAAGTTGTGGCTGCCCCATCCCTGGAGGGGTTCAAGGCCAGGCTGGATGGGGCTTGGAGCAACCTGGTCTGGTGGGAGGTGTCCCTGCCCAGGGCAGGGGGTTGGAACTAGATGATCTTTGAGGTCCCTTCCAACCCAAACCATTCTGTGATTCTATGAAAATGCCAGGGATGGGAATGCGGCGAGGATGCGGGTGGCACGTACCTGAGGGAGGCAAATGCCAACTGACAAGAGTTTTCCCTGCCTCTCCTCAAGTTTACGTCTTTTTTTTTGTGGGGGTGGGTGATGATGGGTGCCTGAGGAGGCATCTCCCCCTGCCTGCCAGCAGAGAGGGAGCCGTAGTGCCATCCCCTGGGTGAACTGGTCAGACTGGGGAGGGAGAGGCAGAGCTGGTGATGGTCAAGCCATAAAATAAATCTCTGGGTAAGAAGACATGGGATTCTGAATAAAAGGGTGAAAAGGAATCACCTGAGACAGAGGTTACTGGAGATGCCCTGAGGAGAGCTCAGGCAGTGTGGGGACAGAGTGGGGGACAGAGTGGGGGGACAGAGGGAGCAGGGCTGGGATGGTGGCAGGGCAAGGGGCAGCACTGGGTTTTTTTAAATATAATTCACTCACACAGCTGGGAGCAGAGCAAATAAACCAAGCTATAGAAGCACAGCACTCTCTTTGGGATTTTGGGCACACGGGGCCATGGAAAAAAAAAGCCATGACACCACAAAAACCATGGGTTGTGGTTCCTAATAGAGGCAAGAGGTAGAAGGAAGAGGAATATGAAGCAGTGCCTGAACAACAGCATCTAATTACCCTGCAGTGAGCGAGATGGATGGCACCGTGCGACCCTGGAAGCGATTCAGGGACAGGCGACCTCTGGGATTGGGGCTGTAAGTCTGAAGCTGGCACTTAAAGCAATCATAAGTCAACGGATTTGGGATCTTTCCTGGCTTAGCTTTAGCAGCTGAGGCCGTGCGAGGGAGAATTGATGTTCAGGACAAAGCTCACCCAACCACTTCCACTTAAGAGAGGCCAAAAAAAAAAAAAAAAAATT